CTGCATTCACTAAACTATGCACACACTCTGGATTCACTATAAGGAATAATGGTTAGTATTAGTGCAGTGTAAGGAGTAATGTTTAGTATCAGTGCAGTGTAAGGAGTAATGTTTAGTATTAGTGTAGTGAAAGGAGTAATGTTTAGTATCAGTGCAGTGTAGGGAGTAATGTTTAGTATTAGTGCAGTGTAAGGAGTAATGGTTAGTATTAGTGCAGTGTTAGGAGTAATGTTTAGTATCAGTGCAGTGTAAGGAGTAATAGTTAGTGTTAGTGCAGTGTAAGGAGTAATGTTTAGTATCAGTGCAGTGTAGGGAGTAATGGTTAGTATTAGTGCAGTATAAAGAGTAATGTTTAGTATTAGTGCAGTGTAAGGAGTAATGTATAGTTTCAGAGCAGTGTAAGGAGTAATGTTTAGTATCAGTGCAGTGTAGGGAGTAATGTTTAGTATAAGTGCAGTGTAAGGAGTAATGTTTAGTATCAGTGCAGTGTAAGGAGTAATGTTTAGTATTAGTGCAGTGTAAGGAGTAATAGTTAGTATTAGTGCAATGTAAGGAGTAATGGTTAGTATCAGTGCAGTGTATGGGGTAATTTTTTTGAATTGGCAGAACACATCCAAAGTACAATTTTTCTAACCCACATAGTGCTGTGTCTTACTGTAAAATGTAAAAAGGTCAGTGGAGCCATCACCCTCTCCCCCCCCTCCCTCACCCCCCTCTCCTCCTCTCCAAACCCCACTGTCCTGGGCTCCAAAAATCGACCACTGCCTTCATTATATATGATGCAATAACGCTTTGGGAATTCCGTCTCCATAAGGATGTTATCGCAAGCTTAACCCGCTGTATTGTTGATGTTTAATCAATTGTAATTTTCCAAAGCAATTGGTTTTACCATGAAATATTGAATATTATAAAACCTCAACTACAAGCAAAGCTGAAAAAATAAAACAAAACAAAAAAAGCATAGACATACAGTATCTCACAAAAGTAACATCTCACATTTTTGTAAATATTTTATTATATCTTTTCATGTGACAACACTGTAGAAATTACACTCTGCTAATATGTAAAGTAGTAAGTTGCTGTCCCCTCAAAATAACTCAACACACAGCCATTAATGTCTAAACCATTGGCAACAAAAGTGAGTACACCCCTAAGTGTAAATGTCTAAATTGGGCCCAACGTGTCAATATTTTGTGTGGCCACCATTACTTTCCAGCACTGCCTTAACCCTCATGGGCATGGAGTTCACCAGAGCTTCACAGGTTGCCACTGGAGTCCTCTTCTACTCCTCCATGATGACTTCACTGAGCTGGTGGATGTTGGAGACCTTGCACTCCCCCACCTTCCGTTTGAGGATGCCCCACAGTAGGGTTTAGGTCTGGAGACATGCTTGGCCAGTCCATTGCCTTCACCTTCAGCCTCTTTAGCAAGGCAGTGGTCATCTTGGAGGTGTGTTTGGGGTTGTTATCATGTTAGAATACTGCCCTGCGGCCCAGTCTCTGAAGGGAGGGGATCATGCTCTGCTTCAGTATGTCACAGTACATGTTGGCATTCATGGTTCTCTCACTGAACTGTATTTCCCCAGTGCCGGCAGTACTCATGCAGGCCCAGACCATGACACTTCCACCACCATGCTTGACTATAGGCAAGACACACTTGTCTTTGTACTCCTCACCTGGTTGTCGCCACACATGCTTGACACCATCTGAACCAAATAAGTTTATCTTGATCTCATCGGACCACAGGACATGGTTCCAGTAATCCATGTCCTTAGTCTGCTTGTCTTCAGCAAACTGTTTGCGGGCTTTCTTGCACGTCATATTTAGAAGAGGCTTCCTTCTGGGACGACAGCCATGAATACCAATTTGATGCAGTATTCAGCATATGGTCTGAGCACTGACAGGCTGACCACTCACCCCTTCAACCTCTGCAGCAATGCTGCCAGCACTCATATGTCTATTTCCCAAAGACAATGCTGAGCACGTGCACTCAACTTCTTTGGTCGACCATGGCAAGACCTGTTCTAAGTGGAACCTGTCCTGTAAAACCGTTGTATGTTCTTGCCCACCATGCTGCAGCTCAGTTGCAGGATCTTGGCAATCTTCTTATAGCCTAGGACATTTTTATGTAGAGCAACAATTCTTTTTTTCAGATCCTCGTGAGTTCATTGCCACGGGGTGCCATGTTGAACTTCCAGTGACCAGTATGAGAGCGTATGAGAGCAATAACATCAAATTTAACACACCTGCTCCCCATTCACACCTGAGACCTTGTGACACTAATGAGTAACATGACACCGGGGAGGGAAACTGGCTAATTGGGCGCAATTTGGACCTTTCCACTTAGGGGTATGACTAATAAGGAAGTAAAAAGGAACAGAAGACCTGTTAACACCATAACCTTCTAGCTGCATTTATAATGCACTGTGTGCAGGGAGATAGGAGACCTCCTTACGCCATAACCTTATAGCTGCAGTTATAATACACTCTGTGCTGGGAGACAGGGGATCTCCATACACCATATTTGTATAGCTGCAGTTATAATACACTGTGTGCTGGGAGACAGGGGATCTCCTTACACCATAACCTTATAGCTGCAGTTATAATACACTGTGTGCGGTGTGACAGGGGGACCCCCTTACACCATAACCTTAAAGCTTCAGTTATAATACACTGTGTGCAGGGAGACAGGGGATCTTCTTACACCATAACCTTATAGCTGCAGTTATAATACACTGTGTGCAGGGAGACAGGGGATCTTCTTACACCATAACCTTATAGCTGCAGTTATAATACGCTGTGTGTGGGGAGACAGGGGACCTCCTTACACCATAACCTTATAGGTGCAGTTATAATACACTGTGTGTGGGGAGACAGGGGACCTCCTTACACCATAACCTTATAGCTGCAGTTATAATACACTGTATGCGGGGAGACAGGGGACCTCCTTACACCATGACCTTATAGCTGCAGTTATAATACACTGTGTGTGGGGGACCTCCTTACACCATAACCTTATAGCTGCAGTCATAATACACTGTGTGCGGGGAGACAGGGGACCTCCTTACACCATAACCTTATAGCTGCAGTTATAATACACTGTGTGCGGGGAGACAGGGGACCTCCTTACACCATAACCTTATAGCTGCAGTTATAATACACTGTGTGCGGGGAGACAGGGGACCTCCTTACACCATAACCTTATAGCTGCAGTTATAATACACTGTGTGCGGGAGACAGGGGACCTCCTTACACCATAACCTTATAGCTGCAGTTATAATACACTGTGTGCGGGTGACAGGGGACCTCCTTACACCATAACCTTATAGCTGCAGTTATAATACACTGTGTGTGGGGAGACAGGGGACCTCCTTACACCATAACCTTATAGCTGCAGTTATAATACACTGTGTGCGGGGAGACAGGGAACCTCCTTACACCATAACCTTATAGCTGCAGTTATAATACACTGTGTTCAGGGAGACAGGGGACCTCCTTACACCATAGCCTTATAGCTGCAGTTATAATACACTGTGTTCAGGGAGACAGGGGACCTCCTTACACCATAGCCTTATAGCTGCAGTTATAATACACTGTGTGCGGGGAGACAGGGGACCTCCTTACACCATAACCTTATAGCTGCAGTTATAATACACTGTGTGCGGAGTGACAGGGGACCTCCTTACACCATAGCCTTATAGCTGCAGTTACAATACACTGTGTGTGCAGGGAGACAGGGGGACCTCCTTACAACATAACCTTATAGCTGCAGTTATAATACACTGTGTGCGGGGAGACAGGGACCTCCTTACACCATAACCCTATAGCTGCAATTATAATACACTGTGTGCAGGGAGACAGGGGATCTCCTTACACCATAACCTTATAGCTGCAGTTATAATACACTGTGTGCGGGGAGACAGGGGACCTCCTTACACCATAGCCTTATAGCTGCAGTTATAATACACTGTGTGCAGGGAGACAGGGGATCTCCTTACACCATAACCTTATAGCTGCAGTTATAATGCACTGTGTGCAGGGAGACAGGGGACCTCCTTACACCATAATGTAGTCAATGAGCACAGGTTAATTTAATGCTTAGAGTTGCAGTTATAATGCACTGTGTGCAGGGAGACAGGGGACCTCCTTACACCATAATGTAGTCAATGAGCACAGGTTAATTTAATGCTTAGAGTTTTTCTTTAATGAACTGACATATTATTTTATATGGCATGAATAGCTCTTAAGGTAGTTCCAATAGATCACAAGCCCCTCTCTCCTGCCAACAATAAAAATGTTACCTTTAATAAATATTCATTAAAAAATGATGAAAACATGCGAAATAATTTCACATTGCAGATATGGAAATCAGTTACAAATCTGTTATTTAAAGGAGGTATACTTTGTAAACCAAACACATTAAAGATTCCATGAGCTGTATGGACAGATATGTATTTTTTATAATCCCCTCTCAGGTTATAAAATGCATCTAGTCTGCAGGAATCAGACAAATTCAGCTGGATGGGAAAATGAAATAAATACCTGTGACCTATAGGCTGTTTGTTATGGTATAATGATCTGTTCATTCAGCATAACTGCAGTGCTATGTAATCATTTAGCGAAAATGCTTACAAAACGCTGTGACAGAGCGAGGAGAAGCCATTACAAACCTTGCCAGGCCGCCTGATCTATCTACTGTCCTTTATCACTTACAGTAAAGAGTAATTCTGGCTAGATAGCCTCACAGCTAGGATTTTGCTATATAGGTTTATGGAAAAAGGCAGGTAAGCACATCATGCTCATCTTTAGTGCTGTCAATCTGGATAAGAGACGCAGGCAGGAGGCAGCAGAATTCTTTCTGAAGTTAGGATTGGGTTTGATAACGGGTAGAATGCATAATGCAGTGTAACAGTTTTCATGTGCAAATTCGCAGCACAGATGCCAAAGTCCAAGAGCCCACTAAAATGACATTTAAAGGAATAATTTGGATTTCAATAGGTCGGTGTCTTTCTTTCCTGAATGAGATATCTATGAAACTGCCTGGGTTTCAACTTGAAAATGTGATAAAAAAAAGGTAATTTAGGAAGTGTATGTCTTAATGGGAGCCCGCCTGTACCATTCATTTCTATTTTCAGTGCTTGTGCCAGCGAGTGATCTTGTTGAGAGGACAGTTAGAGAATTACGGGGGCAGATATTCAGTGTGACATCAGGATTAGAAATATCTTCTCTTATGTCTTTGTGTTAATGCTATGTCCAGTGAGCAAGACGACTTTCATATTTCACATTACTTAAAGACTTATAAGGCATGTACAAATATAATATATATCACATCGAAAAAAAGTGTTTATATATATATGTGCGTGTGTGTATAAATGAATACATTGTTGTACTACCTACTAATACCTTTTTTGTTGAACTGGGAGCTTTGGAAAGGTTTTGAAAAATGCAACCTTGATAAATATTTCAGAAAAACTTAATAAAGACAATAAAAAATGTGCATGGGCAAAAACAAATTGTTTTGTTTCATTTTGCTTCAATTTGTAAATTTTTTAATTTCGGTTTGTTCGAAATTTGGAAATCATGGATTCGGAATGAACCGACATTGAACCGATTTGATATTTAAACACCATTGTTCTTATTATTCAAAGTTTATAAACCCTAATTTTGTATCCTTAAATATGGTAATCCTAAATAAGGGTACCACTTTAGGGAGCTATCTACTAAACACAGCTGGAAGATCAAAATTATTAAAAGGCGTTTTTCTTAATTTTGGGCCTGAAGCTGTTTAGTAGATAACTCCCTAATTTCCTTGGTGGGATTGCCAAAATGTTAACTTCAGGGTTAAACTGACACATGGAGTAAACCAGTTAAGCCTGATTCTGCAGTTGTAGGGGTTGTAGGCCAGGGAGACGCCATCAGCTTAGTTGATGCATTATATATATATGCTCTGCTTTATTGGTATTGCTAAAGTGCAGAATGTACACACTGCATTGATCATAACATGATTTATATCTAGCTGTCCTTGCTCTCATGCCACAGGGAAAGACACACAGTGTATAGGATTTCTGTATGCTATAGCAGGGGTAGTCAACTTTTGACACTACAGATGCTGTGGACTACATCTCCAATAATGCTCTTACAGCCATAATGCAGGCTAAGCATCAGGGGAAATGTAGTCGATGTAGTCCACAGCATCTGTAGTGTCAGAGGTTGCCTGTCCCTGCCCCAAGGGATGAATAAAGTTGAATGGTTTTATACATTGCTTGACTCTGAGTACCCAGAACCATAACTGGCAGACTTTTTAGACCTTTATTAAAATCTAATGATAAGAATTGTAGAGCTTAATGAATTCTCCTGGAACCTCGCAGTTTGTTGTGCTTGCCCTCGACTACCTAGGTTCATCTAAGCTGCTGACTGAAGGTCAGAAAATTAAGAAAATATACTCTTACGAAGCAAGGGAATGTCATAAATAATATGTCAATGCTGCCTGCTTGAAGTCATTTGGAAATCTTATTAAGAAATTGAAGTATAAAGGTACTGTTAAACTCAATGCAAGATTTGAAAAACTAAGAAAACATCTCATATTACATTTTTGTAGAATGGTCACTAAAGATTTAGCTGGTACTGTAGTGGTTACACATTGGTCCTGTGTGCAGGGATGCTTGTACAAGCCACGGCGGTCGACATTCATTGGCTGAGAGTGTCAGCTGACTTCTTTGAGCCACTAGCTAACATTCTGTATAAGGAAATTGAACAGAATTGGCATTAACCAGCCTCCAGTTATGCCAGGGGTGGAGGGAAACACAGCACATACAGACTCCACGCACCATGATGACTTCAAATCACTGAAGTGGTCATGGTGCTTGGAGCAACAGTTTAATGGAACATTTTGTAACCTCCTCATTTGTTGCATCATCCTGGAGGCATGCCTCTGGGATGACTGGCCAATTCAATGCTCCTCATAGAGAGGCATTGTGGAACGTAGGCGCATTCACGTCACTAGACACAATGTGCCCAATATTCCTCCATAGAGAATAGTTGTATGTAATGATTCTCTGTGGCGGACCGTGACAGCACTAAGCATGCTGTGTTTCACTAATTATCCAAAGAAGCTCATAACATAATCCAGATTTTTTTTGGAACCAAGTGCCATGTTTGATAAAGCAAATATATTGCCCTTTGGCTACGGTCATGCTAAATATATATTTGAAATATATAGGAGAAGCATTTGAGGGAGATCACTTTCCTTGAAATTACTATTGGATAAAAAACTGAAAATGCAAATTTAGCTTCCAAAGGACGACTCCACAATCATAAAGCATTACACTTTAGGAAAGGGCTGAAATGAAGCCTCCAAACACATGCATGAGTGGACCTAGAATTCTTCTGGTAACCTGGTTGAGGGGGTAATTGGGGAAGATGCCACCTTGTTTGATTGCTACCTCCCGTCCTGTTGTGTTTTATGCCCCACCTCCTATAGACGCAGAAACAGAAACCAAAGTGGGGAGTGCCTAGTGAAAAAGGAGGCTGGATAGAATGAATAAATATCAGTTAGGTGAAGATAAGTACTGCTGGTGAAAGTGATTGAAGCATAGGAACAAAGGAAGGGAGAGGGAAATACAAATATGTATTGTTTAAAATTAAAACGTTAGCAAAGTAGACACTACCTCCCACCAAAATAATTATCATATGTATAGTAAATACGAATATATTGCATATACAGAATACAATAAAGCCAGTAACATTGGAAGGAGGAAAAGATATAATGTACAGCTGCAGAGGGAATAAATAAAATGGAGAATAATGGCAATTTAGTATCTTCAAAGCTGCCTTCAGAACCTCCAACTTGCCGGTGAAAATGGAGGTTATTGCTTACAGTAGATATATTGTGTGTGGCCTCTCCGATCTTGTTGGAAGTTGCTGGTGAACACGAAGTTGCCGTATATATAGATATGTTTTATTCAAATATTGGTAATGGGTATATAAAGAGAACAAAATGCATGTCTGAGGTTGGATTGAGTCATTGTCCCAAAATATATTTCTAAAAGATGAGGACTTGGAAGCTATATGCTATACTCTCCAGATTCTTAATGCCATAAAATCAATGGATTTTGAAATTCTTTTATCCGGTCTCAAGTGGCATGTGCCATTAGGGAAGTCAGCCGTTCCTTTAATTTGAAGAATATGTTCTGTTCCTTGTCTTTTTACGTTGGAAACGACATCTGTCTTAACCATCCACATATTCCCAGCGATTTATCCACTTTCTCTCTGGCAGTAAATATATTTGATTTATTGGGATACTTTTAAGTATATATATATCCAAAGTCACCACGTGTACAACTGAACACTTTCCAAATTTCAACACAAGAATATTGAAAAAAGTGTTAGTACTATAATTCACTACTATTGTTTGTTAAGATAATTGTATTTGACATATTGTCTGTGCCAGCTGAGTTTTTCCAGCTGAGTCTATGTGTGGTTAGGTTACCCTAAAACATGGTGCTTGATGCATAAGGCATTCGTTTTCAAGAATACATTTTCAATAAAAGCTATTTAATAATTTGAGTTCACCATTAGATATTCGATTTAATAAGAAAAATGTCTGGGCTATTTCCTGCTAAGTAAGTCAAAAAAAAAAAAAAGGAAATTTAACGAGTGCTCCATTTACTGAGCAACAAAACAGATCTAAAGAAATTTTAGTCATCTTCTCCAGAGGGACGGCCAATTTCATTAACAATTTTTGCATTGCAAATTTTCAGTATAAATTGTCACTCATTTTATATGATAAGAAATTCTCTTGCAGTTCCTGATGAGAGTGCGGCATATTTATGGTCTGCATAGATTTCACTGCACATAAATGCTTCTCGGCACTTGAGAAATGTAATTAACAAATAAATTCATAATTAAATATAAATTAAATGCATCATAACGGGAGAGATGGAGGTTTTAATACTGTAATATATATTAAAAAACGAACAATAGACTTCAAATGGCCAATCCCCTTAGAATTTTTATCACATCATTGGAAAGCGAAATATGCTTTAATCTTTAGAAGTTAAGAAGGAACATAAATAATCATGTAAAAGACTCTTGTTCAATAGGCAGTAAAACCATTATCTGACAGCAACCTGGAGCCAAAAACCTGAGAGTCGAGGAACTAAATATCAATAGTATACTAGGAAATAATGAAGGAGGTTAGTATTTAATATTTGTTGGTATTAAAATGTTTATTGCTTTGTTTAACAAGTGTTACATATTAAATTTTAGTTCTAAATTCTTCATAAAGCTCCCTGGATCTTAGGTATTTAAAATATGGCTTCTATGTTAATTCACAAACTCTTTAAATGTATTGGCTGATTATTTTTATTTTTGGGGGTTATGGTGCAAATTTCAGCTTGAAGTTGGGAAAAGAAAAAGCGTAAACAAATGAATAAAATAATAACAAAATTGCAAAAGATTTTCTTGGTAAAATTGCCTTTTTTTTTCTTTTTTGCTCACCACGCAACTTCTTTAAAAATGTTTAAACTTTTTTAAAAGGCACTTTGCAGTTTTGGTAAGTGCTCAACTTTTTGAATTTTGAGTGTCATTTTATGGCTGAACGTAATCCAAAAATTGGATTCTTCCAGTTCAAGCAACCTCAATACCGAAGCTCTGACCTTGTAACACGCCTATCATGCAAAATATGAGATATTCATGTACTGCAATCACTTCCATTGTGTCAGAAGTTAGTCTTTCATTTCTGAAGGCATCAATGCAACTCGAGCAGTTTGAGCATCTTGCAGTTATTACCCACTGCAAAACTCCATTGATGGAACTGTTCATTGCTCAGTTACTGATAGACTTCAGGTTTTTTGGGGGGTGGGGTGGGGTTCTGAGTGCCTCCTTCAATTTCCTTTGGTTCGATTTATTTTTTCCACTTATACCCATCACACTCTCCTTTGGTTTTAAATTTCAACCCTATTTCTTTGCTGCTTGCCTTAACTCACAGACCGCGTGACTTTGTCTTGGTCTAATCCTTGCTAGTGTATCACTTGGATAGCACTTACACTGCTGCTTATGTCTCTTCCCACCCTGATTCTCCATAAACTGATTTTTTATTGCACCAGTAACCAACTGCAAACTCACAGAGTGTTATTTACTAAAGGAAGAATTCATAGTCAATTCAAAGTCAATTCAAAGTCAATTTGAAATTTAAGGTCAACATAGGCAAACTGGTAAATAACTAAA